GCAGGAATGGAAGGAGATTTGGAGTGATGGTGTTTGTCTTCCCAAGGAACCATTCTGTGTGATGGGCTCTGCTTTCCTGGAGATGCTGAACATCTCCTGTATGTGGGAAGCAGTGAATGAATTCCTTGTTTTGCTTTGCTTGTGTGTGCAGCTTTTGCTTTCTCTATTAAACTGACTTTATCTCAACCCATGAGCTTTTCTAGCTTTTACCCTTCTGATTCTCTCCCCCATCCCACTGGTGGAGAAGTGTGCGAGCAGCTGTGTGGTGTCTGGTTGCTAGCTGGGGTTAAACCATGACAATCATGAAATACTAGCAGCTTACCTTCTTGACAGTCATTGTGGCAAAATACAACTGGTGAAGAAGTAGCTTCAAGCATAGCTCTAGGAAACACCAATATAGGATCTTGTAAGTAACAAATCGCTAAGTTCAGCTCCACTTCCAGGTGAAGATGAATTTTGTTCTAAGCATTTGAAGCAATATTCCCTCCCAGCAAGACCCTGTTTTCTCAATTAGGAGCCAAACATCAGCAGGTCAGATGAGCAATTTGATCATATCAGTTTGTGGTCGTATGAGACTCAGGTTGGTTACAGAACCAAAACCAAACCTCAGCTTGTAAAGTAAAATGAACACAGGGTGTGATACTGTATAATGCATTCCAACAAGTACACAAAAATCCATACAGAAACTGTGCAAATTGGAAGACAATGATAAACAAAATAAGCCTACCTGAGATTTTTCATTTCCTGGGGGAGATTGTAACTGAGGAGTTTGTTCAGTTTTCTAGTTTTGGATTCTCTGGTAAATTTAATTCTCAGCACTTGATTTAGATATCTGTTATAAACAGAGAATGATACAGCATTTGTGACCATGAGGATATTATTCTATTCACACTATGACACCATTTACCTTAAATCAAGAACGTTTGCAAAAGTTACTGAATAAAAATGTTACTATTCAAGGTAATTTAAGTTCCTCATGTAGCAGTTTCTGGGTACAGCAAGAGCTTGTGTTCTCAGGCATTCAGAAAGAATCATCTGCTTATCAAAATCACAACAGGCCACCCTTTTCTCCCCATGAAGTACTGCATAACTTACTTTTCCATTGTTCCAAAAAGCCACTTAGGTTCTTTATTAAATGGCATTTTCATGCCATGAAATCTAGCCATCTTCTCAGCTATTTCAGCAGATATGTCAGGCAAGCTTAGCTCTTCAGTGCTCAGTTTCCTGCTCTGTAATAAAGCACAGTATTCTTAAAATACAGGTAACTGATTAATTACAAAAGTGTGATTAATTACAAGCACTAGATTAGTCTGTGTAGTACAGTGTGCAATACTAGCACAGAACTCAAGCAATACACTTTTCACCCCAGATAAATGCACAAAATTGCTGCCTTTGGAAAAGCTGAGTTAGCCAGCCAAGCTTACTTATGACTTAATCAATTCCCTTCTAGATCAAGACCTGGGAAGTATCATATCTCACACTAAGAATATCTTCAAAGCACATTGAGTATAAATATTTAAGAACATCAAAAGCATCTGCTCTTGCTGCTGTTAAAGGCAAGTGTTACTCCACAACTTCCCATGCTATGTTTGGTATCTAACAGGCTTTTTATCTTCATTTATTAGCCCCTGCTACAGCTGAAGAGTTTTTAGATCTCTCTCTCTCTGGCAAGAGCTATAATGGGGCTCTCCAACACCCACTATAACTGTATCAAATTACAGCCAGCAATTACTACAGCCTGCCAAGTATTCCATTCCCACATCCCTGCTTTTCCGGGCAGTCCAGAGACCTTCTTGTCATGATCAATTAAAGAAGCTACCAGCAGCCCACTAACTAATTCTGACCAGGACTTACAGGAATGAACTCCTCCAGTCGTCCTTGTGGAAAGATTCCATACAGCTTTGGGCCGAGCGCTCTCTCTGCAAGAATGGCAAACATAACACTTTCCAGAACCATGGCTTCTGCCCCCTACCAGAAAAAATAAAGCATTAGTTGGTGCAGGCCTGGAAATTAACACAGCACAACAGTAAGCCACAGCTAAACTGCTACAAAGTGAGAAAATTGGGGGCTGGCTTTAAAAAGACTCAACATTTCAGTAACCAAAGTTTAGTCAGCATAGGAGCAACACAAGTATTTTGCTGTCAAATTTAAAGCTGGGGAGGAAAATCTGTATTACTTAACAGGTGGGCCAGGGCAGAGGAAATCCAAACAGCCTCTCCTCCCTAACCTGTGGGAACTCTGCAAATTCACTTCCTTAAGGAGTATACCCTGCTGAAGCACATCACAGGAACTACAAATATTATCCTATGTTAACTATTTTCACACACTGCAGAACATTGCCTCACAAAAGGACATTTTAACTGCACAAGAGAATGAGGTGAATAAGGAACTGAACAATTTTTCATTTAGAAGAATGGCTTAGGATTTCTTTCCGTTAAGCACGTTTTAGGTATTCCCTATTTTTTATTACTTTTTGTTCTTTCTAAGAGAGGGAATAATTTAAACTCCTGCATGTTTAGCCTGGAGAAGAGGAGGCTCAGGGGAGACTTTATCACCCTCTACAACTCCCTGACAGGAGGTTGGAGTCAGGTGGGGGTTGGTCTCTTCTCCCAGGCAACCAGCAGCAGGACAAGAGGGCACAGACTCAAGCTCTGCCAGGGGAGGGTTAGGTTGGCTATTAGGAAGAGATTTTTTTACAGAGAGAGTGCTCAGGCATTGGAATGTGCTGCCCAGGGAGGTGGTGGATTCACCATCCCTGGAGGTTTTGAAGATGAGACTGGATGTGGCACTTAGTGCCATGGTCTGGTAACCACGGTAGGGTTGGACTTGGTGATCTTGGAGGTCTTTTCTAACCTGGCTGTTTGAATGATTCTATGTGTATGTGAATTAACATTCTTCCTTTTCCACCAAACATACCTAAAGTTTCAATAACTTTGCTCACAGGTTTTCCTTACATCAATAAACTGTCCATAGCAATCAGGAGTAGACAGCTTTTCAACATGAATGTTTAAAAACTAATAGAAATATGGAAGGTCTCAAAACTACAGTTAAAACCACTGCAGTACAGCTTTCTTGATGGTAAGATTATCTGTAAGCAAACAGAAGTCACATAAATCACTACTTCTAGCAATTATGTTAGCAGTACTCAAATCCCAGAGATCTGCCAAGCCTCTGCCAACTCTTGAGGAACTTGTCTCAAAGTCTGACCCATGACACTTAAAAGCAGAAGAATTAAGAGCACAAAATTCAGAAAGCTCAGGTTCTTCTGACCACAGAGTCTTCTGCATTATCAGTCAGTGTCAAGAGTAAACACCTCCATACAATTTCCATTCTTGAGTATTGCTGATAAATTGTTTTTATTATTGGCCCACACCTTATTATTATGACATCTTCAAGAAATTCTAGCATTTCATGTTGTAGTGAATACTCATGTAACTATGTTCTGAAGCACAGAGTTTAAGACAATTTGCACATGAATGTATTGCATCTATGTTCTCCGCCATTTTTTCATCTAAACTCCTCAAAGCACCAATCGCATTACACACTAACACAGCAAACATGTCTTAATTCTTGCACATGCCTCACCACCACAGATTGGCACTTTTCTGATCAGTTCTGAAACCTAATGCCAAGCACCAAAAAGCAAACGAGATACAAGTTACTGAACATTCACTCCCTATTTAACCCACACTGCCTTTGCCTGTGCCAGTATCTGAAGGGGCTGGAGACAGACTGTGTTAGGAGCTGCAGTGATAGGACAAGGGGCAATGGGTACAAGTTGAAGGAGGGGAAATTTAGGCTAGACTTTAGGAAAGCTTTCCCCTGTGAGGGTGGTGAGATACTGGCACAGGTTGCCCAGGGAGGCTGTGGCTGCCCCAGCCCTGGCAGTGTTCACAGTCAGGTTGGATGAGCCTTGAGCAACCTGCTCTGGTGGGAGGTGTCCCTGCCCAGGGCAGGGGGTTGGGACTAGATCATCTGTAAGGTCCATTCCAACCCCTAAAATTCTTGAGTACACCACCAGGGTGTTCTAAAAGTCTGATTGCAGCAATCCTGTTGGCTGTTCCCATTAAGGTGTCATTTTTTTCTTTTCATATCTCACTGAAAAACCAACTCATGTTTCTTGGACAACAGCAAGTACAAAACCCCACTATTCATTAAGATGTCAGTTTCTGCATCAGAAGTGACAACCAGAAATAGTTCTACTTCCAATTACTCATCAGTGCACATCTGGGTCAACTCTGCCACAGGTCTGTCTAGCCTTAGTCATTTAAGACATCATTAACATTTAAAAACCTTCAGATAATCCACAACTCCATGACTGCAGGTTTGTAAATTTCTGTGCCAGTGCCAACAAGGATGGCTGCATCTCTCCATGCAGGATGTACTTCAAGATTAAGAAGTACAGGTAAATATTATGTAAGAATATTCAGATTTGAATGCTCTGGGACCTTACTCTTAAAAGAAAAAAGTTTAGGGCAGCAGAACTTCCTCTACTGTAATAGAATGGTCACTTAAGAACAAGTCCAATGAGAGCCCTGGAACATCTTTGCAATCTCAGGCACAAAGATTCCTAACACCTGATGGACCTTTCACCAGGTCTCCACTCCACACACTACTGTCAAACATAGGTGTGGAAATAAACTACTAAAGGACACTGAAAATCACCACAGTATATTTTATATGGACACTGAACAAATCCAGGGATCTGACTCTTCAGACAAATGTTCACCTGATGGTTTTTTAAAGGGTCAGGCAGGTTAACCAAGTAAATGATGTCCCTCAATGTCTTCAAACACTTTGCAATATTCTCATGCTGCCAAGACAACAACCTGTTGTTTTAGGCTCTGAAGCTCTCAACGTGGATCAGTTACAAAGAGATGCAAACAAGCTCCTGGAGAAGATTTGACCACTCAAATTTTTAAATTTTTAGATACGAATGTTGCATTTCAAACTTACAAATTATAAGCATTCTTTACAAAAGCTTTTCCAGTATGCAACTTCCATTCAGGCAAGGAGAGATTAAAAGTCTTTCTACACTTCAACTGGAACCAAAGCTTCTGCTTTATTCCTGCTTCAACAAGTTTGCTATAACATACACAAAACAGTCACATTGAGAAAAACTAACTGTAGAAAACCCAAGGTAAAACAGATTATCCCTGCTGAAAGACCTTATGAGCTGACAAAATGTCTAGTCTCCAATTCTAGCCTCAGCTGTCACACACCAGGCAGCTCAGAATAGCTACAATGCTTTTACTATTCTCTCCCAAGGATAGTATCTCCTCTAATCAAACCTACCTACAATTTTTACCTGGACATAAGAAAATTAACAAACCCATCCTGACAATAGCTCTTGAGAACACTGATTCAACAGTGAAGTGTCAGCACGATGAGAGTAATAGCAACAAACAAACTAGCTGCAGAGAGTAACTATTTTCAGGCAACAAATGAAGACAGTTCTGAAGCTCAAAGCCTTGTTTCCTGTACTGCAAAACCCCTGGCACCAGGTTGGGGCTTGTTTGAATTTTCGCTGGTTTATAACTTTCAGAACTTTTTTTTTTTTACAGGACAGGGGTGGGAGAGAAATCAAGCCGCCTCCATTTTTCATCTCTGAACAAAACTGGGATCAAACCAGTACATTTTTCAGTTCAGTCTTGGTTTAACTGATTGGAGCTGTTCCAGTAAACTAAGCTTCAGTTCAACACAACTTCAAAAGCATGCATTCAACAACAAAAAAAAATTTAAAATCAGTTTCAACCCACTAGAAAAAGAAAACCCAAATGCTTGAAAGCTGTTTCATATGGCATTCCCAGAAGGCAAAAAACACAAGGGGAAAAAACAGTACTTACCAATTGGGTAAAATGTACTTCTCCCTAACCACTGCCAAAATCATTGCAGAGCTGAAAACTGATAGTCCATAACAAGTAAAGCATCTGGCTAACATGCTGCAATGTTATCCCTTACTGAAAACATACTGCCAGGGTAGGAATCTAAATTACCAAATCCTGGTCAGACTCCTTCATGAAAAGTTACACACAGCTAAACATTATGCTGCATGAGCAGAAACAGTTCCAAATGCAAGAACTTTCAAGGCTGCAGAACACAGATGATCCAAGCACAATGCTAATCAGAAACACTTTGTGTTCAAGAGCAACTTCTCTCTGGCTCCATGTACTTTCCTCAGAGGAGCTCACCACTGTATTAAAAAGGCAGGAAATCAGGTGAAGCAGAGCACTAACCTTCATCTGCGTAACAAAGAGTCTATCACTATAAATTGCAGTAGTGGCACCAGTGTTTGAAATGGTAAGAAACCATTTAGGGTAGAACTGCAGAGCTGTTGCTTCGTAAATCTTTCCAAACTGTGTCCAGACACTCACATTATGTTACTCCTAAATGCAAAAATGTCTTTTCTTTGTTACTGTTTAGTTTCTAGAAGCAGTCCAGACACCAGGTGGAGTGACTACTGGTTTGAAACAAGCAGGATCACCATATTTCCCTGTAATCTATAAAACTCTGTGAAATAAGCAAATTTAGTTACTCACTTGCAAGTCATTTTCCTTCTGAGACTGTACAGACTCTCCCTTATTACAGGACCTCTATGAATGAGAAAAAGCAAACACAATGAGAAGATGAAATTTAACATGATTAACCTGCAACCACCAGAACAAAGGGAGTAGAAGTGCCAGCTATCATTAACTAGATGTCTCAACACTGTCTTGGATCTGTGACAGCTACAGCACTAGTATCCACCTGACCTCTGACCACCACACTACTTCAACAGTTTCAAAAGGATGTGCCACTGAGACCAAGTCACTCTCAGAAAGACCTGATTTTCAGGGATGTTTGTATTGTTTCCCAGTATTTCAAAACAAGACTTTGATGTATCATAAGCTTAGAGGAACATTTTTAATGAAGAGAAAATTAAGTCCCTCTGCATGACATCTGGGATGATATTCCTCCACCCAAAGCACTTGAGACGCATTACAGAGATTACATAAAAGCCTTAGGAGGACTATTGAGAGAGGCATGTTATGAAGGTTGCCCAGCACTTGCTTTTTCCTATCACTTTATTTTCCATATTTCTTGTGACTAGAATGTCCTTATGTGGAGCACACTGTATACAATGTGCCACTGGCTGTGCAAATTCAAGGTTTTACTTCATTGCCCATGTAAGCTATAGATATCTCAGGGAGAACTGCAGTGGACTAGCAAAACTTTAACAAATTCCATGCATAATGTATTGTGCTAGGATTGTTAACAGTCATTATAAAGCAGTTTCAGAGTATTAAACCATACCCTCAGCAACTGAACCCTCAATGGCACATGCTTCTAATAGAGCTGCACGTTTAAAATTCAACATGTACAAAAACCTTGTCCTTTAAAGGGCTTGAAGGTAAGGAGAAGAGAAAGCAAATATTTGCTTTGAATTAGTGACAGTATGTGGCTGCTATTTATGTTGCAAATCCACCATTGAGTGTTTAAACCAGACTAGCTTTAGAGGCCCATAAAGGCAGCCTACATCTCCACCTTCTGAACACAAACATTTCATTCACAGAACCATGTGCATACCTTTCTGTTCCAAAGCTCTAACATGTCCAAAACAAGGGTGGAAATAGGAACTTAATGGAATACAGTTAAGCAACACCAGCTGCCTTAAGTACAGTACAACAAGCTAATGATTTACACAAGCTATGCAGTTACAGTATTTCAGAAGCTATAGAAGAAGGATAGTTAACATGAATCGATGATCTTTCAGCAAGTACTTCCCATAACACTAGGATAATAAGTTTAAAACAAGACAATATGGAAACTACTATTACTTTATATTCCTTTCAAGGAAATGAATAAAGTCCAAACATATTCACTACAGCTAAATGCTACTCAATAGCTACTCAATAGCATTAAAGTCATTTACAGAGGGCTTCTCTGAACAAGCATATCCGACATCAATACCACTCACAGATTATTTTTTTTTTTCTTAACAGTCAGAAAGTTACTCACCATCCAGGAGTCTTTCCTGATAAATGGTGCTCCCAGAATGGTTCAGCTCATCAGAAGGTAAGCAGATTAGACTTTTCCCTAGAACCTGAACTGGCATCCGCTTTCCAGAAGTCATACTGCATAAAGAGCTAGCCAGTTCCAAGAGTCCACCTCAAATTAGTGCTGGAGATAGCCTAATGGCATCCACTGTGCCATTAGAAAGGGACAGTTAGGGCTGTGTACTGCAGAGTCATCACAAGAGGAGACTTCTGCAGCATCCCTTCCTCTTTTCTGTTCCCTCAGCATGGAGCACCAGTGTCCAGCAGAGAATGAACACAAACTCTTAAGTAACTTGAAAACACAAATGGGAGCTTGGAGAGGATCAATCTTCACACGTGGCCATGTACTCAGCTTAGAATTAGGGAAGTCTCCAGTACATGAGGTCAAGGAGAACGAAGTAAGCAGGATGCAATTTTATGCAACCGAAGTTTAGAAGTTTAACATATATTAAAGTACAAGAATGATTGTTTCCTGACTGCACAATCACCTATGAGAACAGTGGTTCAAAGTGAAACATCTCTTGTGATACCTATTCAGCTCACTTGTTCTTGGCTAAATCAATCAAAACTCCATTATTTTTTCCATGAACTGCCCACTCCAACCTATGTCCAGTTCTGGGAGCTATTTACTTCAACAGCAATGAGATTTTAATTACCCAAAAAAGAATGACTGAGTATCTGCCAGAGCTTTTTAACCACTCTCTCTGTATGGAAACATCAACTAGAAACGGACTCTGTTCTACAGCTCTAAGAAGTCTTTAAATATTTGTTCAGTGCTTCTTTTATGGCAGGAAGCTTTATTCTCAAAGCAGACTGAGAATGCTCACTAGCTTAGTAAGGGAGGACAACTATATGCAACAGAAGTTGTTTTAGGGTCCACTTCGTAATCATGTAAATTGATTTTAATGTAGGATACATGACCAATGTCCTAGAATGGGAGACACTGACACATGATCAGAAGATGACCAGTGTTTATGCATCTGACAATTTAGCCCAGAAAACTGAGTTCAACATTTTCTCCCTCATTCCCCAACTTTACTTCTCTTGCAGCTGGAAGATGAGATCTGCATCAAAAATCCCAAAGGATGCTTGGCTAGAGAATTCTGTACAGCAAAGGAACTGGCATCTCTTTTTTCCCCAAAAAAGCTTCTAGCTCTGCTCACTACACTATTTTTCTGAGTTTACTCAGCTTTAGTGTGCAGTACTCCAAATTGCTGCAATACTTTGCTTTAGACAAATCACTAGGAATTCACATCTCAAGAAGTTACAGCATGACAAGGAACTGCCTCAGAGGTTAGATGTGATCTGTATGGGGGAAACTTTTCTTAGCTCTGCAAACTGTTGGAAGACATCAATTTATAGTCTGGTGGGAGGTGTCCCTGCCTAGGGCAGGGGGCTGGGACTAGATGATCTGTAAGGTCCATTGCAACCCCTAAAATTCTATGATTCTACGAATTTTAACTTCAGTGAATGGGGACTAAACCAGCCTTACATTCAGCAACAACTACTTCTGTTTTCAAGAATCTGACATTGGTCAGTTCTCCCTGCCAGACTTGAAGGAACTGAATTTAGCATGTGCAAAAGAATTCCCAGTTCAAGCTCTCCAAAAGCCACAAGGACATGTCTAATCCTCTTCGTTTCAAGTTACCATTCTCTTATGAGGGAGCAGAGGAAAGGAAGGGGCAGTTCTTTGGCATTTGATTACTGCTGTAAACATTCAGATGCACAGACAGTAGCTGGTGCTACTTAAGGCTTATTTTTAAACAATGAAATCCAGTACTAAAGAAAATGAAAGCTGTAGAGAATGCTCCAACTTCAGAGATCTCATACTATACCGTGAATCGTGTCTGTCACCTGGAAACCAGAGTGCTCTAGGCACGATCGCATGGGCAAGCCTGCAGCAGAGAACACATGCATATACAACTAAAGTGGTACATTACCCCCAGAACACCCTTAACTCCACCCAACACAAATATATCCCCGTAAGAGGTGCTTGGTTTCTTTCAAGCCGTCTGCCAGTGCCAGGGATTTGTAGTTACTCCATGCTACAAACAGACATGGACACCAACAACCACAGAAGACGTTGATAATTACAGTTACACAGCAGTCTGCATTTTATTTAGTTACACAAAATAAAAGGCAGCAAGGCAGGTATGGAAAAAGATTTACCACAGAACTGTGGCAACCATTGATGCTTATTTTGCGTCTGCTCACACAGAAATTGAGAGACCAGAGAGCAATGTTAGGTACACTGGTTTGCTTTTCCTCATTTATAGACAGGATTTTGATTTGGCTGTTGCAAAGTATCAGAGTCCCAGTGAATCAGAGTTCAAGGTTCTTTTGACATGTGTAAAAGAATGGGAATCAATTCCCAAGTTACCTTTTGATAGGTGAACTTCAAAAAATTCACCTGAATTTGAGCTTTTTTTTTTTGTTGACGCTATCTGAGGTTGAATTCCTATCAGCTTTTCTAAGATGTTATTCTGAATTTAAGTAGAAACACTAGTGATCTGCATATGAAATCCAATCTTAAAGCCTGGACATGAAATGGCATATTGTCAAACCTTTTGTTTCAGTTGTTAACACTAATACAACCAACAGTTACAGACGTTTTGTCATGAGGAAGTTTTACTTTCAATGCTCCCCTTAAATTTAGCGACTAAGCTGGAGCAAGAATAAGTGAAGCAGAGTAAGACACTTCCCTTTTACAAATGTAGGACATATCTGCATTGTGCCTCAAACATTTGGGTTTTAATGTTGTTAGTACTTTAACCTGCCACAAGTACAAATACTTGTCTTTAAAAAAAGTTCTGCTCAAGGATATACTCAAGGGAAGTCCTTGATTTTTACACATCCATGCCAGTGCGACCATTCGTCATAATGGCCGAGCCAGCTCCGTTCATCTCCCCCCAACTCCCCCCAAAACAGTCATGCACACAAAAAAATTGGCTTAAACATATCAGCTATGACAGAGGAAGGCACAAAGCCTTCCCTGTGTGGCAGCTTTAGCCAGCTGGCATGGTTTATATTGGATGAGTTTCATGTACTGACATTTGTGTCTTCCAAGAGTCATAATAAGCAAACTGGAGCTATTTTCAAACTGCAAGAAAGGTTCCTTTAAAAGGTGGCTCAAAGAACTATGGTGCCAGTGTCATTGCTTCTCACGTTAGTAATCACGTATCCATTTGTCACTTGTATTCAAAATTTTCACTTAAACTCATCTGCTGTACATACCACAATTTTGTGCTCATTGCTATGCAGTATTTACAGTAAAGGAGTAAGAACTCATGTCACTGTTTTGTGCTCAAATTTCAACAGAAAGTAAAATAGACAAGAGTTAAAACATGCTACAAAGGCTCAAACGAACAAGTGGTAACTACTAATACCCAGTGGCAGTTACAATTAAGTCATTGAGAATCAAGTTATGATTTCAGTGTAAGGTCTCAAAACTCAACTTATCAAAGCAGTGTCCCTTAATTTCTATGGGGTTAACTTAAGCAACTTGACTAAAAAACATCAAATTATTCCCTCTTAACAGGCTTGTCTTAACATTCTGCTTATGCCACCCAGAAACTCATAGGAATCCTAAGTGAGGTTTTCAAAATACCCCAATAAAGCAGTTTGCTTATATTTTAACTTGCATTTAAGGTAGAGGGGCTGGAAGAGACAAATGTTTTTGACAAAAACTGTGAACCTCAATGCAATCTGAAAGTTTTACCTTGGGACTTTCTCTGCTTACTTAACCTTTAGTGAACTGCACCAACAAGAGCAGTCATTTCACTGCCACTACGGAAATAAAGGAAGTTAGACATCTCAAAAGATCCTTCGACACCAAGAGTAGAAAGGTTAGAAAGTTATGAACACACTTTCAATTTTCAAACCAAATTAGTTCTGATTTTAGAGCCCAAAAATTTATTTTGATTTCTTCAGTGGATAAGGGCACAGAAAAGGCAAGTTAAAAAACACCCTGAGGGAAAAGGAGGGCGACCAAATTCTAGAGCCTAGAAACTTTTCCTTTGAAAGGCCACATTTCTTCACAGCTCTCAGGCAACAGAAGATCTACCACTACAACAGTTTCACAGCCCATGTTCCTACTCAAGCTTTCTACATATTAAGTTAGCATTAAAGTCATTAATAGTTCTGGAAAAAACCCAACAATTTAGCATCAATTCTAGGAGCCATTTTGAAAATAAACATTTTCACCACCATTTTTTCCAATTTAATTTTGGTTTCTCTTAAACTAAAGACTATCTAAGCTTGAAGTCCTGGACCTTTTTTGTTTAAGAGTTCGACTTTCCCAACACACAAGGTGGTGTAGCATTTCACCATCTTTCAAGCCACTGGAATATTTTAAATCTTTGTGGTGAAGTTTGCTACCACGAGAAAGTTAATAGCTCAAATATAATAAAGGAATACTTTAAAGTCAGCAAAGTGACAGTAGCCAATGAGACTTTTAATAGTAAGCTTGGTCAAGATAGCAAAAGCAGGAAAAATGGGCTGAAATTTCAGGAACAGTCAATCTCCTGCAGGTATTGGTTCAAAGCAAGTGACTGAGTACTGGACAATATAAAATTCATGGATAATAAAACCAGACCCTCTAAGTCAAACAAACAATTGCCAACATACAAATGTGATGTTCTGCAGCTGCAATTTTTCATAAGGTTAAGCACTTAGGTTATGATCACTTATTTACAATATAATCAAGTGACTAGCAGAGATGGGTAAGAGAAGATCTCCTGTACACTCCTACAGTCTGTAAGCTTTAGAAGAGATCACTTTCACAAAAGTAGCCTTGATTTTAGCCCTTACTATTTGAAACAGATTTGCTAACCACTTCTCTTAAGGTCTGACAAATTGCCATACTATTGACATTTTCCTAATAAAATAAAAGTAGCATTAGAAGAGTTCAACAAACATCTGGATAAGTTCTTGTGCCAGCTTTGAGGCAAATCACACATCTAGGAAGGCATGATTTGGAATGAGATGACTGTGCAGTATCGATGTTCGCGCTTCATTTTTATTCTAACGCTAGAGATCAAATTTTCCAGCAACACAATTACCCATGAGGTCTAATAAAATGCTTGAGCACTGTACAAGCCTGACAAAACCTCCAACTAAGCTCCAGGATTCGTAAGTGCTACCAAGATTAAAATTAAGCAGTTTAGTCTCTTGCAGTCTTGCTAGTTATGTCGAAGTCCTACATACTGTACAGAAGCAAACTTTTCTGAAACACCACAGTCCGAGCTTAGCATCATAAACAGAACATTATTGCTTAAACAACAGCAAATGAGGCTCCAGCTAAGACACACCAGTCGGGATCTGTGTGGAAAGAATGTAAGTTCTAGACAATAACAAAGCATAAAGAAAACTGCTTTAAGCTAGCGATCTGACCCCCACCACTAAAACATTCCCCAGAGGATAAGGCAGCACACACTTGCAGTGTGTCACAAGTGAAGAGCTCCAAACATGTTACAGTGAAGTCACAGAAACCCTCCCACTCCCAAAGCACTGCATGGACTCACCATCTGCAGGATTGCACCGTATAAGCGCAGCAGAACTTTCCGTGGTTCATCTGCCACTGTCTCAACGGTATCAGGTAGTGAGCACTGAAACAACATGTTGCTGAGGCCACCTCTAAAAAGAGACAATTAGGTTTATTAGCTGATTTGGATGAGCATACATGTTTCCTTTTCTACAAATTGGAGGTGCACTAATCATCCTTTTGGTATGATTAACTGATATAACAGGAAAAAGTGTTTTCCAGCAGTACCAAGAACTCATATAAGGTTTCAGTGAAGAAACAGCAGCTCTGTAATGCAGAGTTCACCATCAAGATCTAATGATCCAAGTCACAGCTCAAGCTATGGACAAACTGATGTAAAATGCAGCAAGATGTAGACTTCAGTAAATTATTTTCAGGACCTCTAGAAAGTGATGCTGGAGTCTGGTCAGATATACTTGGGTCGCCCAAGCTAAACAATGGCAGAGTAAGTTTTAAGCAATGCAGTGAGTACAAGACTCCCAGTTTGAATGAAGAGCTGGTATCACTGGGATGGTAAATACAATGTTTAGCTATAAAGATTTAAACCTGAATACCTGTGCTACAGCATTGCTGATCTTACTTATGCTGTCACTCTTAGGGCCACATTTTCAACTCTGAAATTCACAATTACAGCAGTTTATCGTGAAGAAATTGCTTGTGCATTTGTCACACTCGATCTCATCAAGTGAGACAAACTAGGAAAACCTGTGTTTGTCATTCAGGTGTTATACTAACACCTTGGCTTTTCAAATAATTAGTGTTTTACAACAGTGTTCTACAGGAGAAATAGTATGGCATTTGTTTTCTACAGGTCTATCAAGCTAGATAGATACTGGATTGGAGAAACTGAGTTTCTTGATGTGCTAGCAGCTCACTAAGAACACCCATCTACTCAACTCCTATTTTCTTTCTGCATTTTTCGTCATTATCGGTATGTTCATTAATGACATTTTCAAATTTCCCTTCTGTGACAGATTTTTCCTATAACCACCTCCTCTGCTATAAAAAAAAATACTGCAACTTCTGGTTTACTTGCAAAATAAAAACGCAAATCAGCTCTACTGAAAAAAACTCACACCATTAAAGGAAAAAACCATCAAAACCAGATACAAAGCAAATAGAGCAGTTAGCAGTAAATCTGCAGCACAGATTTTAAAAAGTAACTTTCCTTGTAGCTTATTAAAGTAGCTCTAGAATTTGTCAGTTGTGATTCTCTTTACAAAAAGTAATGCAGTTTTCTCCTAACACCCAAATGATAAGTATTTAATATTACTTTCTAAGCATCCAAACTGCAATGGCTAAAATGCAGTTCTTAGTCCTAAACCTGACACTCCTCTCAGAGCTTTTTCAAGTACTATTCTGGGTTCTCTTCCCACACAGTGGGGAAGCAGTAAAGACTTTCTGGAGGAAAAGGTTACCAAGGAGGAGACAGTCTGTAGATGTTTACTGGGAGGTGATACAGAGAAGAGCTGCCTACACAGCCAAAGTCAACAACTGAGAAGGAAAAAAGAAATCTCAAAAAAACAGGGTAAAGCCACAGCTGCTCAATATGCTTAAGAAAGGAGACAGAAGAGAACCAGGTGGCTTGGCAGGCATCCAAGGAAGGATGTTTAGAGACAAGAGATATGAAGTAACTTTGAACCATGAAGGTGAACAGGTAGGAAAAAAAAACCAGCAAGAGACAGATGGAAAGGATATCAAATGAGGAGCAAAGCCAACAATTCAGATGCAATCTGAGCACTGGGCAGCAATACCAGCTACACTTCTGGCTTTATCTAAACTGTGCTACACAGCTTGGGTTTTTGAAAAAAATATTTGCCACCTTTTCTAAGCCTGTGGGAAAAATATCAATACTTAAATAGAAGAACTAAGCACACTGAAACCAAATTTATAAAAAAATAGGCTGGACTAAAGCTCAAAATCCTGTATAGTTACGTTACTTAAACACATGCACATAGTGCAGGAAAGCCCAGAAACTCTTCTCCTTTTATACAAGTCAAATGGGAGCGAGTGTCTTACTGAGGCTGAACTCCATTAAACAGAAATTTCACTATAGTTTTATGCACTGAAGACTTCAAAAGTTACCTCTAATCAAGGAAATCCATACGGAAGTGCAATAAAAGGCATTGTTCTCCTGAAAGGTCAGTGGACTCAGCAGCTTGTTTAAGGGTCAAAAGGGCACATCTCACCCCTATACAGATAAAGCCACCAGTTCATTTGCTGCTACAAATTACTCAAGGGAAGCTCTTCCAAAAGGTCACCTGCTTTCAAAGCTCACCCACTGCAGTTAGATGCGATCATAAACTTGCATTGTGATTAAGGTGCATTTATTCCTTTGCTCTCAATCAACAAAGACTGAACCCCTTCCTGCTATGATTCCAAGTACCTGACAGCTGCTCATGTATGTGGTTTTGCAGTGGAAGCAGCAGCACTGATGGACACACAGGAGAATGCACACTGAGTGCTTCACTTCTGTGAGACTTCACTCAGCAAAGCAGTACGAGGCGTTTTCCATCGATAAAGCTTTAAATTTTAATTTTCAGCCTATCTCCTCTTGCTCCCAACGTGGAAACCATGGAGCCACTGGGAACTGCCTCCAAGAAACGCAAGAATAATTGTGCTGAAGCATAAGGCTAATTTAGCAAATAAGTATCAAAGTCAGCACTACATTCTAACACAGATGAAAACACAATTAAACAAATCAAACTCAAATGTACCAGACTAGTCTAGTGTCTAGGAACTGTATCAGTCTTCTAAAGGCTCTCTTCCTTCACAAACTCCTCATTACCGTGTTAAGTGAGGAGAAAAGAATCATATAAATACAAATACCACCTGCACTGGCTTTCAATGAGCTGTTCAACTTAATAAGGGCGTTAAAATACATTTAGAAAGGAGCACCATGAGTTATGATTATTCTTTTATCCATCACAGCTTTGCCAGCTGTTTCTGCTCCCTTAGCTAACTAGGGTAGATGTGTGCATGTTTCACAGCATGCAGGATAATATGTTAAGGAGTTAGAATGGACTTTACAGATCATCTAGCCCCAACCCTCTGCCCTGGGCAGGGACATCTCCCACCAGAGCAGGTTGCTCAAGGCCCATCCACTCTGGCTTTGAACACTGCCAGGGTTGGGGCAGCCACAGCCTCCCTGGGCAACCTGTGCCAGTGTCTCATCACCCTCACAGGGAAAAACTTTTTTCAATGTATCCCCATCCCCTCTTGTCCTGTCACTGCAGCTTCTAACCAAGAGTCGCTCTCTAGCTTCCCTGGAGCCCCTTTCATGTATGAACACAAGTAGAAACACTGGGAAAGGAAACTCGGGACTCAAGGGGAGAAGTTGACCACCACATATATCCCATTTGAAACCACATGCGACTACACCGATGAGGTAGAACGACCCGTCTCTAAGATGCTAGGCAAGCAGCTTGTAAAAAGAGAACTCTGAATAAACACTGTCACAACTCGCATAAAGGACTGATAGAAAGTAAAGCGGCGATTTAATTCCGCGAAGAACCCACGGACCTCAAACCCATTACATCATAAGGCTTCTAGAACATCCGCAATTTACATATTTCTGCTGCCAGCATGCTGAGTCACCAGCACGCGTTACCATGCCCGCTAGATGATGATTCACACCACCCATACACAGAATTTACCTGCTGACCTCGCAGCCGGGAGCCCGCAGGGCGCAGAGCGGACAGCGAGCACCTCTCCGCCAAGCAGCGGCTCCATCCCCGCGGCGCGGGC